CAGCCTTCTTAGTAGCTGGGACTACTCTGTATAGGGACTGTTTTATGTAGAGACAAGTTCCAGCTATGTTGTCTAGGCTGGTCTTTCCTGGGCTCAAGCAGTCCTCCAGCCTTGGCCTTCCAAAGTGCTGAGGTTACATGTGTAAGCTACCATGCCTGGCTAAGAAAGATTTTTACATTTTTAAAGTGTTGTAAAAAAAAATAATAAAGATCAGTGCAGAGTTTAAAATATTTATTATCTGAGAGCTCTTTAGAGAAAAAGTTGCCGCTTCCTGTTTTAAAGAAACTATTCTCACATAATTATAAAACTTAACGTTGAAAGTAATTTACTGAGTTTGAATCTTTATGAGTTGATTATTCCAAATAATATGAGAGGAAAATGTTAGCTCCAGAAATGCTGGGGTAACTGAGGCAAAAAAGAAAAAAACTAAACTTTGTACATAATTGGCTATGAGCCTAGATAACTTAAAAATAAAGGAAATGCCTTCCAGGGAAGGGGGGAAGGAACTACCATTAGATGACCTCCGAGGTGTGCTGTGCATCCATACTCTCATTCACTTTCCTAATATTGTGAGAAGAGAAACACAGCCCTCATCCGTGTGATAAAGGGAGTATGCATCTTAGTACTGTATACTTGCCTCTGGGAGCCTGCAGTATGTGAGCTGCCCTTAAAGGGAAGAAACCGGTGGTAGTGGGGAAAGGAGTGCTGGTGTTAGTTAGGAGTCTGAGAAATATCCAGATTGATCATGTCTTCCAAACAGTTCTGGTAGTTTAACCCCATGTCGTCATAAGCTCGTGAATAATCCCCCATTGATAATCAGCATTTTACAGGGTCAAAAACACCTCCACTGTTATATGGTGATAAATTCAACTGCGATTTGTTATCACCTTCCTCCCTTTTTCTCCCATGCAGGCCTACCTCTTTTATAAATTAGTTTCTGTTTTCTCAAGTAAAAGAGTAGAACCACTCTGGGAGGGAAGTTTTCTTGCAGAGCCGTAAAGGGAATTAACTTTAAGCTTGATTAAGTAGGAGTTGCTTGGGTCACTATTTGTCTGACACATTATAGACTGTTGAGGGACAAGTAAAACTTGTTTTTATTTTGTGTAGACTAAGAAAAAAGTATTTGGTAAGTTTTTAAAAAATTATTTAAAGTTTTGACAGCATTGTAGTTATGACAAACTTTGCTGAAGTATTTTAATATAGTAGAAATACTATGTGTTGTAACAGGCTTACTTGTAACTTTGGCCACCCAGTTTTGGTTTGTTACTCATCAGCTTGTCATATGTTGAGAAAAATATTGTGGAATTTCAGAACTGGTCATATTACTTTAGGAGATTCTAATCTTTTAAAAAATTAATTGAAAAAATAGGTAACGCATGCCCCTGATATAAACATTAAGGACACAGAAGTGATACCCAGTGAAAAGTAAATCTCCCATTCTCCCTGCTGCCCTCCACCAGAAATGGCCATTACCAATTCCTTGTAATTAGTGCTGTTGTTAAGTAGGAGACTAAGAAATACTCAAATCGATCAAGTCTTTGATGCATTTCTCATGGTGTTATACAAACATGTATTTATACATAGTCTCTTTTTTACGTAGCATAGCATAGCAATTACATTTCTGCACCTTTCTTTTTTTCAGTGAGTAAGTTATCTTGTAGGTTCTATATAATGCTAGTAAATATAAAGCTGCCACATTGGTTTTACTGGTTTCATTTGTGTTCCACTGAATGGATGTTTTATAGTTTGTTCAACTAAGTCTCCCTGATAAGACATTTGGTTTTCCATTTTTCTGCTATTATAAATAGTGCTTCAGAGAACCCCTTATACATTAAGTTTGGATTCTGTCTGCAAGAAAAAATTAGTTAGCTGTGTAGAGCAGATAAAATGAAGTTAGTACTTTGAGATTTTCTTTTATTTGTTTTTTCTTTTTTTGAGTTGGAGTCTTACTCTGTTACCCAGGCTGAGTGCAGTAGCATGCTCATGGCCACCCCAGTGTCGACCACCTGGGCTCAGGTGATCCTTCTGCCTCAGCTTTCCAAGCAACTGGAATTACAGGCGTGTACTACCACGCTCAGCTAATTTTTTGATTTATTGTAGAGACGAGGTCTCACCAAGTTGCCCAGGCTATTCTTGAACCTGTGGGCTCAGGCAATCCCCTTACCTCAGCCTTCCAAAGTGCTGGGATTAAAGGCTTGAGCCACCGTGCCTGGCTGAAATTTTCTTTTAAATGAGGAATACTACAATTAGGTTGACTGTTCCTTATCTGAAATGCTTGGGACCAGAGTGTAACAGATTTCAGATTTTGTTTTTGATTTTGGAATATTTGCATACATACAATGAGATATCTTGGGGATGAGACCCAAGTCTAAACAGGAAACTCATTTGTGTTTCCTATAAACCTATAGAACACATAGCCTGAAGGTAGTTTTATTTTTCTCTTGGGGCAATGAATAAACTGTGTATTGTGTGCCTGTGTTTGGACTATGACCCATCACTTGAGGTCAGGTATGGAGTTTTCCACTTGTGTCACCATGTTGGGCCTCAAAAAGTTTAGGATTTTGAATTATTTCATATTTTTTGGAATAGGGATGCTCAACTATTTGTAGCTTTTCAAGCTTTTGTCAACTGAGCTTGAGAAGTTATTGTGTGCTTATTGGAATAACACAATATTTGTGAAATGAAGACATTCTATAAATAGACATATGAGAACTAGTTATTAATAATTGTTAAGGTGTTTTAGAAATACTTTGGTTATAATCTTAAAATAATTTTTAGTTGCTTTCAATCTTTTGTAGTTTGGGTGTTCATATAAAATTCACAAAAGGCTATCCCCTCCTTTTTACATAAATTCCCTTTATGTAAATAGTATCAGTGTATCAGTATACTTTCTCAAGCCTTTTCTTTCTTTCTTAGCCATGCTAATTTTCAAATCTGTCATTTAAATTAAAATAGGAAATGATCATATATAGGTGATAGCATTATGAGAAATTTTCACTTAGTAAATCAAAGTTATAGACTTTTTATATCTTATTTTTGAACTCAAAGATTTGACCTGTATTTTTAAAAAGTTTAAATGTGAAATAGTAAATAATACTTTATTTTTAGTTGTGTAACTCAAGATGCGTGAGATTGCTGTTTTGAGTAGAAAAATTTTTAAGTGCCTCTAAATTTGATTTTTTTCCCCCCTTCTTTACTCTTGGTAGCCTGTTTGGTCTTCTCTTAGATTGCTTACCATGTTCTGTGTCTTGTAGATTCTAAAAGCTCTTTGAGTTTAGGGTTCAGACCGCCCTCATTTTCCTGATCTCCTGCATGCTTTGAACAAATGCTAAATGTGTTGCATTTATATTTAAAATTAATATGCCTGCATGCGAAACAGGAAAAATTCTTTTTTTAAATTGTGTTAAATTAAGCTGGGGGATGTTGGACTGGGGGAAGTGACGTGAGGGGTTGTGGTGTTTCTTACGACATTTCTCTTCATTAACATGGCTGAGATTGACTGGTTTAGATCACAATGAAGGTGAGCCTTTTTAATACCTTTTTCATCACCTTAAACCAATTAAAAAAAAATAGTGTTCCAAGTTACCTGAACTGCTTTGAATAGGGCTGTTACACAAGGAATTGCAAAGCTAGGGAGTCCCAAAGGATGATGTTTTGAGTAACTAGTTTGGGCTTTTTCCCCCTGATTATTTGAAGGATTTAAGTACCAAAACAGTTTCTTTCAGCAGAGCTATTTTTGTTTCAATTTACCCCCCCCATTATTTGAAGGATTTAAGTACCAAAACAGTTTCTTTCAGCAGAGCTATTTTTGTTTCAATCTGTTAAAAATATATCACATACTTAATTGCCCCGTTAGACAACAGAACTAAATGTAATGATTTGTAATGTTTCAGGGCTGCCTTTAGTGTTCTACCAAAGGGGTGGATGGTGAGAGCTACTAAATGGAACCTGAAGAGATCTTGGGGCTCTTGCTTTTTTAAATTACTCTCTTTCATCAACTTTCTTTTTTAAAAAAAGAAGAGGGAAGAATGACTTGGGAAGAGGAATATGGTTACCTTCCTGTGAACTTAGCGAATCAAATGTTGAAGCAAGCTTTACATTGAATTGGTGTTCCTTTTCATTTGCTCTCAACAAAGTCATCTTTACCATCTTTATCAGGTTATTTTGGCTTTTGAGGGTCATTCAAGATTTGTTTAGGTATAAGGGTATTCATCTCTTAATTATTATTATTTTTTTAAGTTTCCTCACAGACTGTGGAAGAAGGTGTTGGTTTTGCATTGGTGTTCCAGGGTTGCCTTTCACTTCTCAGACCTTCCCACAAGTTTTTTTTTTCCTACTTTCTGTTTTCCAGATCCCCTCCCCCCCACCAATGTCCCAGAATGTTTACTTTGAAGCCAACACCAAGCAGGAAGAACATTTGTCTTTTGGTTGGCAAATTGCCCCATTGCAGTACTCGTTAAAATATTCTAATTTTTTGGTTTTCAGTTCTTCATGTTCTTGTGACTTTTTTGTGACCATTAACACTCCTGCCCCTACCTCCAATTTTTTTTGGCAGGGCAGGATATTTGGGTGCTGAATTTTACTGTTCGTGATAACTGCAGCTTCTTAAACAGCTTTCTTCAAGGCTGTCAAAATGTAGGAAATGATGCACCTGGGAAGTACCAGTAGTTTGTAAGTTCATACGGTTTTGAACATACAGTATAAAGTTTGCATGCAGTTCAGTTAAGACTGAAAGGTAAGGTGGCCCGTGGGAGTGTGCGTACTGAGACCAGAAGCTGTGAACTGACTGGTGAACTGGTGCCTCCTCTCTCTACTCCTCATCTCTCACCCTCCCCGCCCATAAAAGCAGACCCTTTCAAATATTACTTGTCTTGCACTGGTGGAGAACTGAAAAGGCTCTATCATTGTAAATGATGGCTGAGTTCCTAATATGAAGTGTTTAGAGCTGCTTTTGTTTTTCAACAGGAGAAAATAAACCTCCTTTCTTTGATTTGTGTACAGGTGCTAGTAAATACTGCCTGCTGTGTTTTGATGTTGGTGGCTAAACTTATCCAATGTATTGTGTTTGGTCCTCTTCGAGTGAGCGAGAGACAGGTAAGTCCAGATAGAACAGATTCTTGTGATTAGATTTTTTTTTTTTTAACTTTGTATTTGGTATTATTTCAAATTTTTAGAAAGGTTTCATGAGTTCTACAAAAAACTCAATATACCTTTTGTCTAAATTCATCAGTTGTTAATGTTTTATCCTATTTGTTTTTATATATACTTTTTTCCCTGATTCATTTGCAAATAAGTTATGGACGGCATGCCCTTTTACCCTCTAATACTTCAGTATGTATTTTCTAAGAGCAAAGACATTTTCTTATATAATCACAGCAAAATGATTACAATTGCCTGGCACAGTGACTCATTCCTATAATTCCAGTACTTTGGGAGGCCGAGGGTGGAGGATCTCTTGAGGCCAGGAGTATGAGACCAACCTATTCAACATAGCAAGACCCCATCTCTACTAAAAAAACTTTTTAAAATAAAGAAATCAAATAAAATTTAGTGTTGATAAAATACTTTGTCTAATCCATAGTCCATATTCAGTGTAGTCAAATTGCCCCAGTGTTGTTCTTTATAGTTATTTTCCCCATGCCTTTTATAAATGTAGTTTTTAAAGAAGCATAGGTTTGTTTTAGTTTGAATGATTATAAATCTCATTCTTTAGTATATGGGTTCTTTTCCAAAGGAATTTACTGAGAGATTTTTCTCTGTGGAAAAGTAAATTAAGATTCATTGTTCTACAAACATAAAGTTAGGGGATTTGTTTTAGATGAGATTGTGTGACATGTGAACATAACTCTCAGAATGTATACATGGGCGGGGGACGCTTTCAGTAATGATTTATACCACATGCATGCTATCCAGATGCAGTTCTCCAAGGATTTTAGTGGGTAGAGTGTAGAATGGTATGTTTTAAAGCAAGAACTTAAAACTGGCCTTCAAAACAACATAAGAACAAGACCATATTTTACTCTATCTTATCCCAGTGACAAGACACAGGACCTTGCTATATTAAAGGTACAGCAGTGGCTTCATTGCATGTTCAAAGTGCAGGGTTCTGGTCCCTCCTTACCTACCCTTTTCAACTCAAATCTCCTTTTATAAAATCAGCTGAGATGCATTTAGAGCTGACATGTGGTTGCTTTGTGTTTGAGCCCTTGAATGTTGTTATAAGCAGAACTGTTTTGTTTTTCCAGAGATATTTTTTTAGTGAGTATTCAGCACTTTCTCCAAATACCAACTGCAGAAATCTCCCAGATAGTTTCAAAAGAACATACAGATTTTTTCTTAGTTACAAATATTCCTTTTGATACTTGTTTCTTCTTTAAGTTTTCCTCAAAATTTTCTTCTTTTTTGTTTTTATCTTTTGAGTTGGAGTCTCACTCTGTCGCCCAAGCTGAAGTGTAGTGGCATGCTCAAGCCCACCACAGTCTTGACCTGCTGGGCTCAGGTGATCCTTCTGCCTCAGCCTTCCAAGTATCTGGAACTACAAGCGTGTGCCACCACGCCTGGCTAATTTTTTTTATTTATTGTAGAGATGAGATCTCACCAAGTTGCCCAGGCTGGTCTCAAACCCTTGAACTCAGACAATCCTCTTGCCTCCACCTCCCAAAGTGTTGGGATTACAGGTGTGAGCCACCATGCCCAGCAAAATTTTTTCTTTAAACTTTTGATTTGTGGGTCAGAAATTGGTCAGGCCAGGCTGGCCTGGCGGGTTGATCTTGCATCAGCGGACCTTATAGTATAGACTTTCTTTTCCCTGAAGTGTTAGTTATAAGGTCAAAATTTTAGAAAATACAACTTTGGAGGACTTCAGAGATTTTTACCATTTCTAGAGGTAATTATAATGAGCATATTTGTTATCCATCTCTACTTTCAGTGTTTTTAGTGTAGATCACATCTTTGATGCTGTTCTTCACTGGCTTATTTTATAATTAATGTTATCCAGTAGCATTTACTAAGAATCATTTGAATTCTTATAAAACTCTATAGAATTGACATGGATGCACTTGTCGGCTACTTAAAGTTCAAGACATAGAGTAATACTGGAGGCAGACACTGAATACCTAAGATGGAACAAATATTAAAATGTTAGTGGAGGTTTAGAGCAAGGAAGTTTTAAAATTTTTTGTAAGCACTTGATGCCTGCTATGGCATTTGTCTCAACACTTACATATATTAATTTATATAATCCATCTCCCCCAACAGTTCTGTGAGATATATGCTGTATTTTAAGACACATTTTATAGATGGGGAAACCAAAGCACAGGGATGTTAAGTGACTTTCCTAGGGTCACATAGCAACTAAGTGGCAGAGCCAAGATTCAAAACCAGGGCACAAAATGTCCTAGGTTCCCCTTGTACTTCCCTTGCCCCAGGTCTAGACACATACCAAGGAGTCCTAGTTTATTTTATTGAGGAATGGAAATTAGAAGTCAAGATCTGCACTAGCTATATGTGCTCTTTGTTACTGGGATGTCTTTGCCCTATTGATAGAATTAGGGAATGATCTTTGATTTTATTTCCATTTCATTTTGTTCTCTGTACAAAAGGTATACAGTCAATATGCAGTGTGTAGAAGTTACCAAAATAATTCTTATCTCTAAGGAGTCATGTTATCAATTTGCCATGTATTTTGCTTTTCTGGTTTTTTAAAATTACTTGAATTCATAAAACATTCACATGATTCAAATTCTATTTAAAAGTATACTTAGAAGTCACCTATCCATTCTTATCTTCTTTACCCAGTTCCTCCTAACCCCCTTGATGATTGGATTTTATATTTTAATATCTAGTGTGGCTAGACTCTCCTTATTGGCCTTTTCCCCTTCCAGGGTAGTAAAGGTTTTAAAAACTGGAAGTCTGCAGTGTAGAAAAGAGTACAATGAAGCAAATATGCGTTCACACTGCTTGTGAGAATATACAGCTACACAGCTTTGGAAAACAGGTGGATATTACCTTACTTAAACCATGAAAGCATGTGTAATCTTTGATTCAGTAATGCTGAAGAAACTCATACAAAGATATATACAAATATATTCATTACAATGTTCTCTTTTCTTTGATTACATATTTTTTCCTAATCACTAGACCACCAGGGAAACAATATTTTCTGAATGATGAAAAATGTAAAGTGTCCATCTGTAACCACTAAAATGGTATATTGGTATATTCAGAGAATATGTTTGACATTGATTGAGTTTTCCCAATATGACAGATGAAAGAAAGCAGTGTACAAACATCAATGCATTTTATACACAGGAAGAAAATAAGAAAATACAATAAAATATTAAGGGATCATTTCAAGTTTCTTTGGACTTTTTACTCTATCATGAGTTGACAAATGGCTATATGCTATTTTTTAAACTGAAGATTTTTTTAAAAAAGTTTAATCTTTTCTGTTTAAGAATCTAGAGAGCAAAAGTATTAAAAATAATACTGACAGCTCTTACCATTCTTTTTTGTTGGGTATTGAAAGTATAATGTATTATTTTTTCATCCGTAAGTCACTAGACTGATATCACTACCCTTTTAATGGCTCAAATTTCAAAACCAATTTCGAGTTACAATCCAAAGTTTACAAATTAATTTTGGGTAATTTATAAATATTCTTCAGAGAGCTTCTTTTTTAAAAATTATTTTTACTTTTGTCTTCTGTTTGCTTGTGGATAAGTATTAGATAGCTAATTACAAAATATTTCTTCCATAGAAGCCAACTTTTGTTGTATTAACATCTCTTAAATGGGTTTAGATGCGATGGTACTCACCGTTATAAACATTTTTCTTTTTAGCACCTCAAAGACAAGTTTTGGAATTTTATTTTCTACAAGTTCATTTTCATTTTTGGTGTGCTGAATGTCCAGACAGTGGAAGAGGTGGTCATGTGGTGCCTCTGGTTTGCTGGACTTGTATTTCTGCATCTGATGGTTCAGCTCTGCAAGGACCGATTTGAATATGTGAGTCTAGCCAAACTCTTTGCTTGCTTCGTCACACATCTGCCAGATTCAAATTGTGTAATGTGAATGAGCCACAGCAGGCATGTTTGGGGTAGCTCTCCAGGGGAAGACTCCTGGACCAGGTCCCCACTGCCTGTTTCTTCAGGAACTTTCTGCAGCAGCCAGGGATGCAGTCTCAGTATCTCCTAGTGAGGCTTCCTCCCCAGCTTCATAGTGTATTAGGTTAGAGCTCACATGGGGTCAGTTCACCTATGCGAACTGTTTTGATCATAGTGAATATATGAAGGAAGTCTTGATATGTAAACTGAATAAAATTGGGTCTCTTCTAGACATTTTTCTGTTCTAGTTTCCTTTTTATTCACTCCCCTCCCCACCCCCAACCATCCCCTGGTTCTTGGAGCTCTTGTTTCTGACTAGTTTACAGTTTCCACATGGGCCAGGACTGAATTAGCTCTCTCAACTTCCTTGGTTTCAGCAGTGAAGCCATTTCTGTCTGGGTACAAGGTCTGCCTCTTGGCTTCAGATCAGAGCTGTGTGGTGAACTTTCACTCATTAGTATTCCTGAACTAATTTCATGGGTCTGGGGTAAATATGCACCTACAGTTCTGCCCTTCAGCTAAACTCACTCCAGGGCTTTGCTTTTCCCTGACTTTACCTAGTCCTCATGGACCAGGTGTGTGAGTTACCTCTGTGTGAGTTAATCTCACTCTCAAAGCCTTTATTTCCTCCACCATTCAGCTTCCATTTGGGTCACAAACAGAAGTGTCTAACCTCCCAAACTGGTTTTTTTTGTTTTTTTGTTTTTGAGTTAGAGTTTCACTCCATCGCCCAGGCTGGAGTGCAGTGGCATGCTCACAGCCACCCCGGCGTTCACCTGCTGGGCTCTAGCAATCCTTCTACCTCAGCCTTCCAAGTAGCTGAACTACAAGCTAATTTTGATTTATTGTAGAGACGAGGTCTTGCCAAGTTTCCTGGGCTGGTCTTGAACCCGCCAGCTCAGGCAATTCACTTGCCTCGGCCTCTCAAAGTGCTGGGATTATGGACTAAGCCACCGAGCCCGGCCCCAGACTGGTTTTTTATCTACACCTACTACTTCAGGAATTGCAGCTCCAGGCCTCCTCTTCAGACTGTTGCCTGTCCTTGCATAATAATAGCATAACATTATAATAGTAGTAAATCTGTACCTGGATTACATTTCAGTTGTCCTCGCCCTAGAAGACTAGGAATGTGAGTTTTGGAGAGGACTAGGACTAGATTGAAAAAGAAACACAGCAGAACATGGCAGTGTCCTTAGTCCTGTTGCATGTTAGAGGAGAGAATTGTATACACTTGGAACATTGCTTCTAAAAAGTGTATCATCCCAGTGGTTGGAAGATCCTTGAGAATAAGAGATGAAAATGTGCATATTGTTATATTTGGTAAATTAAATGATGACGATCTTTAATATCAGCTCATACTCATGTTTGGATCATTGTAGAATTTTGACCATATAATAATGGGATACTTTTCTGGGCTTAGCACAGACCCCTCTTCCCCACCAAGCAAAGATGCCAAGACTGACCTTGAGTCTCTCAGTGCAGTTTAATAATGCCCTAAAGAATGAGCTGTTTTCCTGTTTTGTGTGTTTCAGCTTTCCTTTTCTCCCACCACACCAATGAGCAGCCATGGTAGAGTCCTGTCTCTGTTGGTTGCTATGCTGCTTTCCTGCTGTGGGTTAGCAGTTGTCTGCTGTGTTACAGGCTACACCCATGGAATGCACACCTTGGCTTTTATGGCTGCAGAGGTAAGATGCTGGACAGGATGTGCTCTGATTATATTTCTTTGTATTTTCAAGGAAGCTGGAAGATGTTTTACAGATTATTTTCACCCATGAAGTGTTTGGTCTTTCATTTTAACATGCATTTATTGAGTTCCTTTTTTTGAGTTGGGTTCTAGTACTCAATGCTTTTGTGTACTATTTGCTACAACCTAATTTTAAAAACTATTTTTCCTAACATATAGTATTTATTCTATGCCAATGATTGTTCTAAGTACTTTATATCTATGCATTTATTTTATTATTCCTGTACTTATTTATTTTGAGTGCAGTTGCATGATCACAACTACCTCAGCTTCAACCTTCTGGCCTCAGGCAATCCTTTGGCCTCAGCCTTCCAAGTAACAGGAACTACCTGGCTAATTTTTTTGATTTATTGTAGAGATGCAGTGTCTCCAAGTTGCTCAGGGTGGTCTTGAACCCCTGGGCTCAGCCAGTCCTCTTGTCTCCACTTCCCAAAATGCTGGGATTATAGGCGTGAGCCACTGTGCCCAGCCTATTCCTGTTTATCAATGGGGACACTGAGGCATAGAGGGTAAAGTGAATTGCTTAAGGTTCCAGAGCAACAAGTGGTATAATCCAAGTCCTCTGACTCTGAAGTAGGAAGTGTATTCCCTCTAAGATACTAGAAACAATGATTGCTGGTGATTATTAATGAAATACTCTCTTATAATTCTTTTTTTAGATAGAGTATAAATATTTTACAGAATAATATATGAATATATAAACTATATTCATTATTTAGAAGGAAAAATCTGAATTGCCCATGAGTATTTTAAAATTTAAAAAATTTTACTCTTTTAAACCTTTCTAAAAATACCAATTTCTGTTCAATAGACATAAAAATTATTTGTATGTCTTTATATTCAATGGCTGTATTTGCTTTTTCTTTAGGCCAAAGGCAAAATACTTTTATCCATAATTACTGTTACTAATTTTGTAAAATGAGATATTAGATAAACTGAAGCTAATTGGCTAATGTCAATTATTCAGTTTGAACTATTAATTGGGAATGTGTTGGAGTAGGGTTAAAATTTATTTCTGCTTAATAGCATTCATTTCAGAGTACTATGTGTGGTGGAAGTAAAATTAGAAAAGGGAAATTTAAATAAGGAATAATATTTAATATAATAATAATTATAATAATCCTAATGTAAATGATAGGGTTTATAATCTTGATTGAATACTTTCTGCATAAAAAAGATATGACTGTATTTCTTTTGAAACAAAATCTACTGAAAAATTTACACTAACTTATTTAGTTTGCTTTAGATATATTTTTTGCTTCTCTAACTTTCTATTAATATTAGGCTAAACTTTGAAAATACACCTTAAGACTGGGCTCGGAGGCTCAGCTTGTAATCCCAGCACTATGAGAGGCCAGGGAGAGTGGATTGCCTGAGCCCACAGGTTTGAGACCAGCCCAGGCAACTTGGCGAGACCTCGTCTCTACCATAAATAAAAAAATTAGCCAGGCATGGTAGCACGCGCCTGCAGTTCCAGCTACTTGTAAGGCTGAGGCGGAAGGATCACTGGAGCCCAGCAGGTCGACGCTGGGGTGACCTGTGAACATGCCACTGCACTCCAACTCACAGGGTGAGACTCCAACTCAAAAAAAAAAAAAAAAACCACCTTAAAATAAACACATTTAAATGCAGCCTGTTGGGTCATATTATAGTATATACTTTTGTTTTAGTTTGCATGTTTATTCTTTGGTTTTTTTTTATTTTTTTGAGTTGGAGTCTGATTTTTTGCTCAGGCTGGAGTGCAGTGGTACCATTGTGGCTCACCACAGCCTTAACTTTCTGGGCTTAGGTGATCCTTCTGCCTCAACCTCCCAAGTAGCTGGGGCTACAGGTGCACACCACCACACCCAGCTAATTTTTAAATTTTTTTGTAGAGACGGGATCTCACTGTGTTGCCCATGCTGATCTCAAACTCCAGGGCTCAAGCAGTCCTCTCACCTTCGCCTTCCAAACTGCTGGGATTACAGGCGTGGGCCACTGCACCTGGCCTTATTCTTTTAAGATAATTTATCATGTTACAGATCTGATATTTTGAACTAAATCATATTGTTTGAATTCATAGTGTTTCTATGTAAATATGTAAAATATCCATTCATAAATATTTTCCATTTATAAATGAGATAAATAATATAACAACTATTCTGGTTGATTAAGAGGACATTTTTCATATATCAATTTGTATAAAAAATACTATCAGAGGTTTATTTTGGTTTTGATTTCCTTCTAGTGGACAAAGGGAGTTCACAAAGCATTAGGGAAACAACAGGTACTCATATCTAGGCTAGTAGTACCTAGACTATACTTTGAATGACAGTACCACCAAGTAGTCAGACACTCTTTGAAGTAATCAGTAGTGGTGACTTAATGCATATGAAATAGAAGTAATTGTAAAACTACTAGGGTAAACCTCGAGATTGTAGGAGGCATCCCTGGAGATGGACAGGTATAATTGGTTGTTGCTTTAACAGGAAGACATTCTATAAAAGTTGGGTTTCTAGGTCAAAAAAATATTTCATGGAAATTTGAAGCAGAGGAAGTAAAATGATGGGTAAATTTGAACAATTTGTTTTCTAATTGAACTGAAAAAAATGTTTCTCTTTTGTCATTTTGTCAAAGTAAGTTTGGTCTGAGCAAGTCTAAATATTACTAAAAGAAATGTATCTTTTTTTTGTAGTCTCTTCTTGTGACAGTGAGGACTGCTCATGTGATTTTACGGTGAGTAGAAATTTGGTTCTTACCACTGAGTTTAAGAAAAAACAAAAGAAATTTGAGAGGAAGGTGATTGAGTTTTACTCATATGAAGGGGGCCCCCAAAAAATTTATTTATAAAAAATTGTGTATTTATTCTTATATGTTTAAACTTCAGTCACCTTCAGAGTATTCTCCATTTGATGCAATACACCTATCGAGGCGCCTTTTCCACTGCTCAAAACAGTTTTTGAACTTGTCAATTTTGATGCCTAGTAGTGCTTCTGCCATTTTTTTTCCACCTCTTCCACGTCAACAAAATGTTTCCCTTTGAGGGTTGTTTTTAATCCGGGGAAACAAAAAGAAAATCTCTCTGGGCATGATTGGGGGAATAGGGAGGGTGGGGCATGAGGGTCAGGCTGTTTTTGTAAAAAACTCATAAACACTTAGTGTGGTACGGGCAGGCATGCACTGAGTTGTGGCAAACAGGTGACTGATTCTTCCACTGGACCATGCACCTGCCCATGCCACGCTGAGCATTCAGCCGTTTTTGACCAAAAAGGGCATGACCCTCATGCCCCACCCTCCCTATTCCCCCGATTTCTTTGAGCAGCTTTTATGTGTTTCCCAGATGAGAAAGGTTCTCAAAGGGAAACTTTTTTGCTGATGTGGAAGAGGTGAAACAAAAATGGCAAAAACACTAAAAGGCATCAACATCGACAAGTCCCAAAACTGTTTTGAATAGTGGAAAAAACATCTCAATAGTGTATTGCAGCAAATGGAGAGTATTTCGAAGGTGATTGAAGTTTTGTCATATATGATACACAATTTTTAATAAATAAATCACGTTTTTTTTTGTGGTTCCCCCTCATATAGGGGGATGATTTTGATTTTAAGATATGGCAAGTATAAAATATATAAGAAAATGACTAGACTATAACTTGGTTAAATCAAATTCGGATTAACAGTACATTATTAAGGTGTTTTGCTCTTTATGGCAGATATGTAATTCACCTCTGGGACCTCAACCACGAGGGGACCTGGGAAGGAAAGGGAACGTACGTCTACTACACAGATTTTGTGATGGAGCTCACTCTCTTGTCCCTGGACCTCATGCACCACATTCACATGTTGGTAAGTTCCCTGAAAAGGAGCTCAGTTGAAGGCTAAGACTTTCAGAATCAGGAACCTTGATTTGTATATTAACCCTTGGCACTCGGAGACATCTCGCAGATCACCTGTCAGTGACTTCACTGCTCTTTTTTACAAAATAGTCAAAAATGAGTCACTTCATATTAAATAGTTTAGCGTTGGAACCAATTATCTTATTGTAATGATATTTGGCTTATAATGAAATTTTGGACATTTAGGAACTTACTTATGACAAAAAACCCAGCATTTTATATCTTATATTTTTCTAACATGTGGTAACATGTGAAACAGTCACCGACATGCTTTGCAGGTTCATTGATATCTGTCCAGAAGTAATTTATTTGAGTCTTTAAAAGACTATAAAATCCAGGCTGGTCTCAGTGGCTCAGCGGCTCAGCCTGTAGACTGAGGTGAGTGGATTGCCTGAGCCCACGGGTTCAAGATCTGCCTGGGCAACTTGGTGAGACCTCATCTCTACAATAAATCAAAAATTAGCCGGGTGGGGCAGCGTGCACCTGTAGTTCCAGCTACTCGGAAGGCTGAGGCGGAAGGATCACCAGAGCCCAGCAGGTCGAGGCTGCGGTGGCCAGGAGTGGCCACTGCACTCCAGTCTGGGTGACAGAGTGAGACTCCAACTCAAAACAACAACAACAACAACAAAAAAAACCATCCTGTCTCTTTTTGCCACTGGGTGTAAAGCATTGTCATAGAACTGCATTAACTGGTACCCACCCAGCTCAGAAGGCATTTGCTTTTCTCAGAGACTTAGTTAACTCTGCTGACCAAGTCAGTAAGTAGATCATTCTTTTAGCATAAAATTAAGGGGATATCTTACCTCTCCCCACATTTTCTATGACTTCTAATATTTAGCATTTACCTTGTAGGTGATCATGAGAATTCCTGCAGTGTTATTTCTTTCAGGGAGTCTTGTATTTTCCATGTAATTAAAGACAAAGTCCTTATATTTAATTTCTACTGCCTTTGTTGTTTATATTTTACTTTGTGTCAGAAATTACACTATTGTAAACCTGCTTCATTGGTTAACATTTTAGTGATCTAATAATGGTGAGAATCAACATAGTCAGTAGTAATTTATTTAAATTACAAGCCTATCAAAGTAGAATTTAAAAATGATTGAGTCAGACAAAGCACATTTCTAAGGTCTACTTTTTAAATAAGCCTTGAAAACATACTCTAAAAAAAATGCATGTAATTCTTTTGGTAAAAAAAGAGCCTCCTTCCCCCCTATAAAAAAGAAGAAAGCAAATGCCCAGAAATAACTGTTAAGATTTTGTTGTAGTTGACTGCTTCTTTATATTTTCAAATACATTCATAAATTGAGATTATATTTTGGACATGTAGTTTAGTTTTTCAAAATTAATATATTATGGATATTTTCCTATGCTAGAAACAATTCTTCTAAACCATTTTAATACCTTTAGGATAAAACTTTATCATATATGTGCCATGATTTAATTAACCAAATTTCACAATGGGCTATTGAGAGTATATTAGTTGTTTGCTATTTTACGTTTTATACAATTTTTACTCACATATTAGTTTCATAAAGATAAAATAATAAATTTTTATCTTCACACATATTCACTTTTTACTTAACAAATATTTTCCCATATAATTTATCTTCAAAATTGTTACATATAAAAATATAATATTAATATGTAATTGTATAATATGTAGAATTAATGACTATATAATATTATGTCATATGAGTTTACAACCTAACTTTCTCTGCTGGACGTTTTGTTAATTTCCATATTTTGCTTTTTGTAATTATGTGAATAGGCATCTTTTTGCACAAAACTATAATTTCTGATTAGGGCTAGGTGTGATGGCTCATGCCTATACTCTTAACACTTTGGGAGGCCAAGGCAGAAGGATCACTTGAGGACAGAAGTTTGAGATCAGTCTGAGCAACACAGTGAGAACCTATCTTTGTTTAAAAAAAAAAAATTACAAATCAGTTTCTCAGGGAAGGTTGCTGATGATGGAATTACTACAAAGAGAATATATGTCATTTAGGGTAATGAGATAAATATATGCATTTATTTTTGAAAGATTGCTCTAGTTTACCTTTATCGAAACCTAAGAGCTCCTGCACTCCCGACCTTCATCACTAGCAAGTTCATATTCATTTTTATTTTGTATTTTATTCTCTTTCTCTCTGTTTAAGTTATTTGGCAACATTTGGTTATCCATGGCCAGCCTGGTCATCTTTATGCAGCTGCGTTACCTGTTTCATGAGGTACAGCGTCGAATTCGTCGGCACAAAAACTATCTGCGTGTGGTTGGGAACATGGAAGCCAGGTAAGTAAGCACAAGTTGATGCTGCCCAAGTATACTCACTTTAGCTCTTTAAAAATGACAAATCCCAGAATATATTAGAACTTGCTTTGTAAACTGTTAATAGAATGGTGAAGATTATAGGCTCTGGAGTCGTCAGACTGTCTATGTGTGATTCTCCACTCAGGTGCTGTGTGATTTGGGGAAATTTAATTACCTCCCTGTGTCCCAGTTATCTCATCTCTAAAACAGAGATAACAGAAACTTTTTCCTGAAACTGTTGGGAGAATTTGCTCAGATAGTTCATGTACTTAGAATGGTATTGGGCACACAACGTTCAGTAAGTATTAGGTTCTTATTATGTCATTTTATTGCCATTATTATCAAATAGGAACTTTCTTGAGCTCCTTTCCTCTTCAAGTTTTGTGAAGGTGCTTTTTTTTTTTTTTTTGAGTTGGAGTCTCACTCAGTCACCCAGACTGGAGTCCAGTGGCCTCGACCTGCTGGGCTCCGGTGATCCTTCCGCCTCAGCCTTCCGAGTAGCTGGAACTACAGGCGTGCACTACCACGCCCGGCTAATTTTTTGATTTATTGTAGAGATGAGGTCTTGCCAAGGCGGGTCTCGAACCCGCGGGCTCAGGCAATCCACTCACCTCAGTCTCCCAAAGGCGTGGGATTACAGGCTGAGCCACTGAGCCCGGCAAAGGTGCGTCTTAATTATTCTTTGCATATGCATGTTTACACATGCACTTGCCCTCTTGAAGGAGGCATTTGCTTGCCAGCCCGAGGCTAAACTATGCCTAGAAGTACAAGATTAGTGGGTATCCTCTTTGTGCCCAGGGTGACATTTTGGATCTCTGAGGGTCTTATTCCTCTGATTTGCCAAGATATGTTCTCTGAAATCATCACTAACAACAGCCATTATTGAGACAAAGTTAGTTTCTGTGCATAAGTTTCTCAGTTACTCTTTAATGGACTTTGAAGAGAAAGCAGGTAGAAAGCTTTTGATTATCAGGTTTTTTTACTGAACAGGATTTCTCTGTAACTGCTGTCATAAAGGTGAAGTCTATAAGTGGTGTTCAGTATGTGTGTGGAATTGACCAAGATTTCTGCTGAGCTTGCTTTGTTTTTTACAGGTTTGCAGTTGCAACTCCAGAGGAGCTGGCCGTCAATAATGATGACTGTGCAATCTGTTGGGACTCCATGCAGGCTGCAAGGAAACTGCCCTGTGGACATCTTTTCCACAAGTAGGAGCTACGTGAAGCCACATGGGGCTAGTGGTCTGTCCAGGACACGTGGGTGCTTTGAGGACCCAGGCTTAAGATTAATCCTAGCAGAGGAGTGAGGATATTACCTCAGCCTGGCCTTGTTGCTGACACTGTTATGGGAAGCTCTCAAGTGTCCTTCTTCATCCCTTTGCCTCTTCCCCATTCTGTAGACTGTTTCCCTCCCACCATTTGCCATCTCAGTTTCTGGGTATGTTAGTTGTCTTCACATTTCTCCTTCATTTCATTTCTGAGGTACAACAAATATGCCTGTAAGATTTTAAAAGGTAGGTGGGGGATGGGGGGGGGATCCTTGCTTTCAAATAACTTTTTACCTAACTGGGGAGAGAAAATATATGTTTTTACATTTTGGACATGCCCAAAAGAAGCATAAAAACACTACAGAAGTGGATTGAGACGGGGACTAGACCACTAAATAGCATAGAAGAGCTGTGACTGTGTTATCAAAGATTATAAAATAAGCTCTTCTATAAACTTCAAGATTGGATTAGAACTGATATCAATTTTCAGAGCTCTTATAGGTGCTCTGTCTGTTTAGTCTAAATCATTCTGTTTATAGATTTGATGTTTTGATGTTGATGGACCTTGAAGTATCTTTTAGCCTTTTGCATCTGTGGGCAATTTTGCATATTGAGAAAGTTCTGATCTTTACATCTTTAATCTTCCTTTCCTTATTTTATATTCCCAAATAGATTTTCTTTTCCTTTTTACTATTAAAAGGGTTTTGGAGCTGAAGGCTCAGTAATTCAACAAATTTATTGACAGATTTTTTTGTTGTTGTTTTTAGTGTATTGAGTACTATGTTGGGCTCTAGGAATAAAATGAAAATGACAGATGCGGATTTTGCTTTCTTGGAACTTACAATCTAATGGAGGAGCCAAACATGAATTAACTAGGCACACTTATGAATGTAAAGGTATCAATTGAGATAAGTGCTCTAAAGCATAGGAACATGGTTCTCGAGAGCTTGTACCAAAGGAATCTGACTCACACTTGGAGGAAGTGACTCTTAAGGCTGAGTCAGGAAAAGGAGGGATCAGGTGGAAGGGTACTTGAGACAGTGGACACATCTCTGTAGCAGGAGGGATTGTGGTCTGTGGAAGGAACTAAAAGAGAACATGTGTGACCAGAACTCAGCATAAGGCAGGAGAAGCAGGCAGGGTCTAGAGGGCCATGGGAGGGTGACAGAAGCCATTGAAGCTATTTAAGTTGGGGTTGGCGGGTAAGATCTACAGTTTGAAAAGATCAGGGGGACTATTAGTAACTGCTGCAGTGTTTCAGAGGTGTATTGAGAGTAACCTGAACTATGTGGTGGAAGTAGAAGTGAAGAGAAGACAGATTTAACAGGATTAGGAAGAATGTGGTATGGGATTAGCTGAGGGAAAGTGAGGAATAAAAGAAGTGTCAAGTTTTTCAAGTTTTGTGGCTTATGTAATTGGATATTTAGTGGTGCTGTTTGTTGAGGTTGGGAAGACCAGGGAATTCATGTGCATTTCTCAGAATTCTTTCAGTTAGTCCCAAGGGAGCTTGGAGGCTAGTTGGGAAGAACAACTCAGGTATTTTAGCCTAGAAGCAATGTTTCCAAAAATATGATTGGATTAATTTTAGGGTTGGATTTCTTTGATTGAGCCAAAATTCAGATAACACACCATTTAAAAATACACAATTCAGTGGCATTTAATATATTCACAATGTTGTGCAACCACCCTTTTCTCTAGTTTCAAAACTTCTGCATCATCCCAGAATAACACCTCATAAGTAATCACTCCCCATTTCTCCCTCCTCATCACCTGGCAACCACTGATCCACTTTCTGTCACTATGAATTTACCTATTCTAGACATTTAAATGAAATTGTACAATTTGTAACTTTTGTGATTGACTTCTTTCACTCAGCGTGTTCTTGAGGTCATCCAAGTTATAGCATGTATCGGTACTTCATTTCTTTTTATAGGTGAATTTCAGTTTTATAGAAATTAAACAATTTGTTCATCCATTTATCCATTGATGAACATCTGCGTTGTTATTTTGGCTATTGCACATAATGCTGCTGTGTTAACCAGTATATGTTTGAGTACCTGTTTTCACTTTTTTCAAGTATACGCCTTGGAGTAGAATTGCTGACTCATACAGTTCTGTTTAACTTCTTGAGGAACTGCCAAACTGCTTTCTACAGCAGCGGCACCATTTTACATTCCCATCAGCAATACAAGAGGGATCCAGTTTCTTCAAATTCTTGTCAACACTTGTTTTTTTCTTTCTTATTATAGACATCTTTGTGGATGTGAAGTGTTGTCTCATTCTGGTGGGTTTCTTAGTAATAATTCTCAAATGTAATTTTTTTGTGATATACACTAAACTTACCACTTTAACTATTTTAAGTGTACAGTTTGGTGGCATTAAGTCCAATCACTATCTACCTTCAGAACTTTTTTATCTTTCAAAACTGAAACTGTCTCCTTTAATGCGGCAAGTCCCCACTCTTCCCTTCCCCCAGCCCTTGACAGCCACCATTCTATTTTCTGTCTATAAATTTGACTGCTCTGTTGGCTTTGGGTTTAATTTGCTCTTTTTCTGGCTCCATAGGTATAAAATTAGGATGTTGCTTTGAGAACTTTCTTCTTTTTAGGCTTTTTTGGCCATAAATTTGCCTCTGAGCATTGCTTTAGCTACATCCCATAAATTTGGGTATGTGGTGATTTGTTTTTGTTTGTCTCAAACGCTCTAATTTATCTAGTGATTTCTTCTTTGATATAGTGGTTGTTTGAAGAGTTGAGATTTAATTTTAAAACACTTATCACCTTGGAATGAGTGAACAAATCATTGTTAGAACATCCTCTTGTTTTGTTTTACTTTGTAGCTTTGATAGTAGAATGGAAGCAGTATCGTGTGCTGATAATGTAAGACAACTTCATTTTAATTTGTAGTAAAGATGGAGCAATTTCTTACTATCTGTGTATCATAAGAATATGATAATAATGTCCAAAATAATGTCATCTGTCTGTATGTGTACATCCAACTTTATCACATTTTAAAATAATAAAATACCTATAATTCCTGTTTGTCACAGGATGTAAGGTTGAATGTACACATACAGACAGATGACATTGTTTGGAACATTACTGTCACACTCTTATGACACAGAGATAGTAAGAAGCAGCTCCATCTTGATCTCTGAGAAAGTTTTGTTGCATATGTACCATTCAGTTGCTAGAGACTGAGGATCATCACATTATAAAGAGGTTCTTCTTTATAATCTTATTTGTATACATGTTCATAGATTATATTTTTTAAAGGCAGAATTTTTATTCAATGCCTACTTGAGCCCTTAGAAAAAAATAACGAATTTTCATAGAATGGGAAGAGGCCTTGGAGATCCTTCATCCAGCCTTCTCATTTTTTAGTGGAGAGTGCAAGTCCAGAGAGTTGAAGGATTTGCCTGGATCACACAGCTAGTTAGTGGCAGAGTTGGATCCAGATCTCACATTTTCTACTTCTTGTTTAGTAGTAGTCTTCCTTTTAATGGACATCATAAGTATTTATTGAGTGTCTACCATAATTAAGGCTTTATCATTACTATTTTTTGCCCAAGAGAGGGCAAAAAAAGCTTCGACCTAGTTGTGAAAGCAGAATGCAGAGAAAAGAGGGTGGAGGAAGTTGAGGGACTGAATGTAAGGAAGTTGTTATATAAGCTAGGCGAGGAGGAAAGGAAAGATCTGAGGGACTATCATGCTTGAGGGAAAAGTGCATGAGAGATCTTAGCAGGTTTGTTCCAGAGAAGTAAGTTGGAAGGACAGGACCTTGGGTGAGTGAGTAAGATCTTTGAAGTCAAAACTTTGAAGACAAGGCCAAGGTTATGACCATGTTAGTAAGTAGCTAAAGCAAAGTGAAAAATAGGATCATTGGAGTAGAGGACTGAAAGCCTCGAGGGTCCAGGGTGCTGGATGATTCAGCCACAGGGATTTTGAAGCAGCCAGATAGAGTTGGAAAGGAAGATAGTGACCATGCTATGAAGTCCTGTTGAAGAGGGGTCGAGGGGTCATGACAGAAGCTTGGTAGATGACTGTGTATGATAAAGAATTAATGTTCACAGCAGGATATGCCAGAAGTATATTAGAATGAAGTAGGGTAAAGAGGTAATGTCCACAAATGTTTCTCAACATTTAGCTCTCACTAGTGGTAAATAGAAAATAAAATTAGAATACATTTCATACATTCAGAGTACTTCTGGTAAATTCTCACAAAATATGCTAAGGAACAATCAAGAATGTTCACACATTTTATTTTGGATTTTTTGATAGTTCCTGTCTTCGTTCCTGGCTAGAGCAAGACACCTCCTGTCCAACATGCAGAATGTCTCTTAATATCGCTGACAATAATCGTGTCAGGGAAGACCATCAAGGAGAAAATTTGGATGAAAATTTGGTTCCTGTAGCAGCAGCCGAAGGCAGACCTCGCTTAAACCAACACAATCACTTCTTCCACTTTGATGGTTAGTTGGTTTCAACCCCTGAAACTGTACCCAAAGTGTCTTCTCCACTAACGGGATACTGTTTTAATTATAAATTGCCCTGAACAGACCAGTTTCATATTATATAATCATGCATCCCTTGATGTTTCCATCAACAACAAACCACATATACGTTGGTAGTCCCATAACATGATAATGGACCTTGAAAATTCCTATTGCTAGTATTTACTGTGCTATCCTTTTAATCATTATTTTGAGTGTATTCCTTCTACTTATATATTTAAAAAAATTTATTTGAGAAACAGCCTCAGGCAGATCCTTCAGAAGAAGGCATTGTTATAGGAGATGACAGCTCCATGGGAGATATTATTCCTTGATGACCTTCCAGTGGGACAAGATGTGGAGGTAGAAGACAGTGATATTGATGATCCTGCCCCTTTGTAGGCCTAGGCCAATGTGTGTGTTTTTATTTTAGTTTTTAGTTTTTGTTTTTTGAGTCAGGAGCTCACTTGTCACCTAGGCTGGAATCCAGTAGCACAATCACAGCTTACCTCCTGACCTCAAGTGATCCCCCCACATCAGCCTTCCAGGTAGCTGGGACTCCAGGTGCATATACCACCATGCCCAGCTAATTTTTGTTTAAGTTTTTTTGTAGAGACAAGTTCTCGCTAAATTGCCAGGCTTTTCTAAAACTCCTAGGCTGAAGCAGTCTTCCTGCATCAACCTCCCAAAGTGCTGGGATTACAGGCATGAGCCACTGTGCCCAGCTATTTTAGTTTTTAACACAAAAGTTTAAAGAGAAAAAAAATTTTTTTAAATAGTAAAATGCTTATAGTATAAGGATATCTAGAAAGAAAATATTTTTGTACTGCTGTGCAATTTGTATTTTAACCTGTACAAAAGAGTACAGTTAAACAAATTTCAAGTTTATATAGTAAAAAAAGTTGTAGTAAGCTGAGGTTAATTTATTATTGAAGAAAGATAAATTTTAAAATAAACTTAATGTAGCCTGAGTATACAGTGTTTGTAAAGTCTACAGTTGTATAGAGTAAAGTCCTAGGCCTCCACATTTACTCACCACTCACTCACCTAGTCCTGTTGGCTCCATTCATGGTAAGAACTCTAGGTGTACATTTTTGTGTGTTTTTTATGCTGTATTTGTACTGTACTTTTTCTGCTAGCTAAGTTTAGATACACAAATGATTAGCATTGTGTTATGATACCTACAGCATTCAGTATAGTAACATGCTGTATAGGTTTATAGCCTAGGAGAAATAGGTCGTACTATATAGCCTAGCTGTGTAGTGGGCTGTACCTTCTAGGTTTGTGTAAGTCACTCTACAGTGTTCGCACAACGATGAAATCACCTAACAACATGTTTCTTAGAATGTGTCCCTGTCATTAATCTATGCATCACTGTATTTTTTATTCTGATTGAAAATGTGATGGATGGATGAATAGATAGATAGACAGACAGACAGACAGACAGACAGATCCATCTGTCTGAGGGGTTATTCTGACCAGACATTTTGCTGGATTCTGTGTCATGAATGGGGTTAAGGCAGGAAGGTGGAAGAGTAAAATGGAATCAACCATGCCTTCAAGGAGCATACTTAATCTGTCTACCGATGAACTCTTGCTAATAATTTATTACATTGGTGTAGTATTTAAGCATATAATGAGGGATCATTGAGTAGCCTTTTCAGTGAGTACCAGAAGCAGAATCAGAGCTGAAACCCTGTTGCTTTGTCCATACAATGTGAATGTTCTGCTGCCCAGCAATGTTGAAAGGACACTGCTTAAAAACCACATTTAAAATACCTGTATCAGGGGCTGGTATCATCCTTCTTTAATTCACATTGAGCTATTGTTGATTTTTATCAGCCCAGTATCACTAAATTCTGTGAGTTCATGTTTCTAATTATTACTGTAAAATGGGCATCCCTGGAATTTTGTTAGGAATGCTGCACAAATCTCTGATTCAAGTTTCCAATTGTGGGGTACAGTAGAAGTGGTGGCATGTTGGTGATATTCCTCAAGTAAACCATGCTTTCAAGAGTAGAATAGATGAGGGGCTCCTTGGCTGGATGGGTCCAGCATGCTGGAGAGGTTCAAAGAGGCTGTTGTAGTAGCTGTTAACGAAAGGCTCTGCTAGGTAAGACTTATGAAATATACTTCGTGGTATTGGAGATAAAACCTGGCTATGTAATCCATTATTTTATGAATCACTACCACTAAAAAGTTGATAAAGTCAACTTTATTTCTCCCTTGTAAGTACATGAAATAAGTATCTATTTTTAAAATTGGGTACATTTTGTTTGACAAGACCTTTGAGGATGGCCACTTAACTTGCTTTTATATTCTGGGCTTTATTGCTTCTTTGTGAAGGAATAAAAAACTCCCTTGCCTTTGTGGCTTGGTACTGGGTTGTTTTACAGCCAGAACTTGGTAGTGTTACATCTTGGGCTCTCCTTTTCTTAGGGAAATAATGGAAGTAGCAGACTTTTTGGTACCATTAGTCCACAAGCCTGTATTATAGAATAGAATATTTAAAAAATAATTTTGAATAAGAAAACCACGATTTTTAAGATTATTCAGGAAAGTAAATGTGAAAATGGCATCTCTGACCTGGTTCAGTGGCTCAGCCTGTTATCCAGCACTTTGGGAGGCTGAGGCGAGAGGATTGCCTGAGCCCGTGGGTTCGAGAGTCGCCTGGGGAACTTGCTGAAACTTTGTCTCTACAATAAATTAAAAAAAAAATTAGCCGGGCATGGTAGCACATGCCGGTAGTTCCAGATACTTGGAAGATTGAGGAGGAAGAATCGTCAGAGCCCAGCAGGTCGAGGCTGCAGTGGCCGGAAGAGTGCCACTGCCTTCCAGCCTGGGTGACAGAGTGAGACTCCAACTCAAAAAAAAAAAGAAAGAAAGAAAGAAAGAAAATGCCGTCTCCAAATGAATAGGAATTTGTGTATAGTGTGAAAGAAAGGAGCAAAACTCATTTGCTATCAGCATTAGAGCCTTGAAAGCCATCGTTAGATTGTAGGCTGAGAGAGTAAATGGGGGCTTGTGTGGATCCAGCACCACTGGGCAGCAGGGAAACCTAGTGGCCAAGTGTCCTTGAGTCTGCTTGTCTGGCAGCACAATCTTGGCCATCATAATTAAACTGTGTGGTCTTGGACAAGATACCTACCTCCTATGTGCCTCAGGGTCTAAAGACCAAGGGGACTAGAGTCGTATCTTTTAGAAGAACAAAATGAGAATAATAGTAGGTATCATGTGGGTTTTAGTGAGTATTAAATTAGCTAATCCATGTGGAACATTTGGCATAAAAGGCCTGACATAGTGAACCCTCAGTGATTACCAGCTGTGTTGTAGAGTGGTTGCCTTGAGAGCAGATGACAGGAAGAGTCAGGGCTCTAAAACTCATGCTGGATTCTCGTTTGTTTCAGGGTCCCGGATTGCGAGTTGGCTGCCAAGTTTTTCGGTCGAAGTGATGCACACCACCAACATTCTTGGCATTACACAGGCGAATAACTCCCAGCTCAATGCGATGGTGAGGGCTGCTAGCTGCTTTAAGAGGATAACTAGGAATTAAAGGGAAGGAACGGCTGGAACATGTGTGCCACGTATATGACCTTGTTGGTCTTCCGTTCTGGTAGGATAGAAGGATCTTCAGGGGTTTTTTTAATTCATTGGGACCACTTGAATTCCTGTGTTTTAAAATTTGCAACTGGTTTAGAAGCTGGCTTTTATTTATTTCTCTGACAAACAATTGAGCCTTTTCTGAGTACTACTCGGTTTCACCCTTTTGTGCTCTAGACCTACCTTGGGACTCTCCCTTGATTTTAGCCAAAATGTTTTTGGGATTATTGACTAGAGTGATTGTGCCTTGTATTAAAAATTGTATGAGGCCTACCAAATGTGTTTTTTTTTTATTCCCCATCTCCTCCTCTCCTTCCAAAAATAAATTAGTATGTGTGTGCATGTGTGCATATGCCTTGAGATGTTGAGGCATGCTATTGGCTTAAATAGTATATTGATCACATACTTCAAGTTTCTTTGTATTTTTCCAAAGGTGTATGTTTTTATTTTGTAATGATGGAGAAAAATGTTTCACCATTAATGAAGTCATTGTTGAAACAATTGCTCATTGTTATAATAAATTCAGGAGTCTTAAAATGCACCACCCTAGTCCTGCTAGGATTAGGGCCTTTGGTTGCTCTGGATAAGCCTGGCTAGAACACTGGATGGTCACTAGTTCATTTGTTAATTCATTAGTTAATTTTGATTTATTTATTAACAGATTTGTACTGAGAGCCTACTGCTGAGAGAAGCACCATGCTGAGCATGGCACTTGCAATGTCAACAAGGTAGACATGAGTCTTCCTCTCAAGTAGTGTAAATTCTAGTTGGAGAGACAGATCGTAAATACAGACTAACAAGATAAAGGCTGTCGAGTACTTTGGAGGCAATAAATGCAGGCATTGTGGTAGAGTAGGTGGGCAAAGTCTGTTTTAGAGGAGGCATTTAGAGAAGTTTTCTCTGAGGACAAAATGTTTAAGCTGAGACATGAAGGCTGAGATGGAGATAGATCAGCGAAGGAGACTATGAAAACAGTGAGTGCAAAGGGTGAGAAAGTGCTGGAAGTTGAGAAATATCAGTATGGTTGGAGCCTAGCAAATAGGTCCAAGATTGTGATATAAGTTGAGGTTGCAGAACCAGAACATGCAGAGTCTGTTAGGCCAAAGTCAAGTTTATATTTTCTAATGAAAGGATTAGAAGACCATTCAAAGCTTTTTATACACCACCCTCCACCACCAGGGGACTAACAGGACATTCAACCGAATGATTTTGCTTCAGGAAGGAGAAGGAATTATAGAGAGTTAAAAGGGGAAGCAGTGAGACCAGCTAGGTTGGAGGTTGTTAGTGGTTTAGGCAAACTAAAATGCTAGTTTGGACAGGGGTGTTGGTAATAAAGATGAAAAGAAGTGGCAGATTTAAGATACTTTTGTAAGATGAACTGACAGGACTTGATGATGCTTTGACTTGGATTTAGGGGTGGTGTGGGGTTAGGGAAATGGAGGAGTGAAAGCTGTCTTTGATGGTGATGCCACGTGCTGAGAGAGGCAAGACTGATGAGGAGCAGGCTTGAGAACTAGGCTGTGGCTTTCTACAAGATTGAGATATCATGTAGGCACTTCTGGACCTCAGTGAAGAGATCAAGCCTGTGATGCACATTTGGGAGTTTTAAGCCTATAGGTGACACTTAAAGCAAGGAATAAAGAGAAGAGGGCTCAGGACTGAGGTCCTGCAATATTTCAGAGGTATGGCCTGAGAGGGAAGGGCTCTGACAGCCCGCTGAGTGGGAAGGAAACCAGGAAAAGTGGCAGCCCAGCCCAGAGGAGTTTGGGTTTCTGAGAGGGAAGAGTCAAGCATGTTGGAATTCTTATAAGATGAAGTCACAGAATTGCATTCTGCATTTGGAAGAACGGAGGTGATTAGCTGGAGAAGAACAAGCACTTTCTATGGCCCAAGGAGTTGAACCACTAGATTGTAGTGGATTGAAAAATGCATGGGAGGTGAAGAACTAGATAGTATCTGGAAGTATTTATAAAAGGAGGCAGAGAAATAGGGGTGGTAGCTTGGCAGAGGTGTGGTATCCTGGTAAGTGTTTTGTTTTTAAAAATTAAACAGGTCATCTGTTTAGGAGTTTCAAGACCTAGAGAGAAGTATATAGTGGAGTTATGCTCCTATCCTTTCTCCACACGCCCACCCCCTCAACCCCCATAACAACCTGGGTTAGTTTCTTTTGTGTTATGTTCTTCTAGAATGCTTGTAGGCATACATAAGCCAATGCTAGTACATATTCTTTTTCCAACAGAAAAGAATAAGAAAATAGGCATTTTTTCCAGTTTTTTTTATTGTGGTATAATACACATAATGCTATATTTACTATCTGATTCTTGTTTAGTGTACAGTTCAGTTACAGTATACTAAACAGTATGAAGTACATTTATACTGTGTGGCTATCACCATCATCCATCGGCAGAACTCTACATTTTGAAAAATTGAAGCACTATAACCTTAAACAATAACTACTATTTCTTCCCTTCCCCTAGCCTCTGGCAACCACCATTATTCTTTCCATCCTTATGAGTCTGACTACTCTAGGCATCTTATATAAGTGGAATCAGATAATATTTGTCATTTTGTGACTGACTTATTTGTTAGCATAATGTCATCAAGGTTTATCCATGTTGCGGCACGTGTCAGAATTTTCTTCCTTTTTAAGGTTGAATAATATTCCATTGTATGTATATCCTACATTTTGTTTATCCATTAATCTATTGATAGACACTTAGATCACTTCCATAGTCTGGCTATTATAAATAATGCTGCTGCAAACATGAGTATACAACTATTTCTTTGAGAACCTACTTCCAATTCTTTTGAATACCCACAGCACAGGTCTTTTTTTTTTTTTTGTCTTTAAGACTGTTTTTTTAGAACAGTTTTAGGTTTACAGCAAAATTAAGAGGAAGATAGAGAGGTTTCTATACGCCTGCTGTGTCCACACATGCACAGCCTCCCCCGTTACCAATATCCTTCACCAGAGAGTATGTTGTTTAGAGTTGTTAAACCTATGTTGGCTTATAATAGTTTACCTTCATGTTCACTCTTGGTGTTATATATTCTGTGGGTTTGGACAAATGTATCATGACATGTTATCCACATGATACAGAGTATTTTCTCTTCCCTTGAAAGCCCTCTCTACTGTCTGCCTGTTCTTTCCTTTCCTTTCCCCAGCCTTTGGCAGCCGCTCATCTTTTTACTATCTTAGAGCTTTGCCTTTTCTAGAATGTCATATCAGTTGGAATCATGGAGCATGTAACCATTCCAGATTGGCTTCTTTTTACTTAGTAATTTGCATTTATGTCTTTTCATAAATTGACAGCTAATTTAATTTTAGCACTGAATAATATTTCATTGTATGGATATACTACAGTTTATTAATCCACTCACCTGCTTGAGGACATCTCGGTTGCTTCCAGGTTTGGACAATTATGAATAAAGCTGCTGTAGACATCTGTGTGCAGGTTTTTGTGTTAGATAAAAGTTTATAGCTTCCTTGGTTAAATGTCAAAGGGCATTGTTGCTAGATAAAATGTTAAAATTATGTTTAGTTTTGTTAGAACCTGTCAAATTATCTTTCAGAGTGTCTGTACCATTTTGCATTCTCACCAGCAATGATTTAGAGTTCTGTTACTCCTCATCTCACCAGCATTTGGTATTGTCAGTGTTCCAGATTTTGGCTATTGTAATAGGTGCGTAGTGGTAGCTCATTATTTTAATTTGCATTTCCCTAATGACATGTGATGTAGAGCAACTTTTCATATGATTCTTTGCCATCCTTGTGTCTTCTTTGGTGAGATGTCTGTTAAGATCTTTAACCCCCCCCAAAAAAAAGATCTTTAAACCCCTGTTTTAACCAGGTTGTTTGTTTTTTTCATTGTTGAATTTTAGGAGTTTTTGTATATTGTATATTTTGGATAATAGTTCTTTATCAGATGTGTCTTTTACAAATATCTTCTCCCAGTCTGTGGCTTGCCTTCATATTCTCTTGGCATTGCATTTTGCAGAACTTTTAAATTTTAATGAAGTCCATTTTATCAAGTATTTCTTTTATGGATCATGCACTGGGCATTGTATCTAAAAAGTCATTGCCATACCTTAGATCATCTAGGTTTTCTCTGTTATTTTCTAGGAATATTGTAGTTTTGCATTGTATATTTAGGTCTATGATCCATTTTGAGTTTATTTTTGTGAAGAGTAAACCTGTGGATGTCCAGTTGTTCCAGCACTGTTTGCTGAAAAGCCTACCTTTGCTCTGATGTGTTGCCTTTGCTCTTTTGTTAGAGATCTGGTAACTCTATTTATATGGTTCATTTCTGAGTTCTCTATTTTGTTCCGCTGATCTATTTGTCTTTTTTCCCCCCAGTACCAAACTGTCTCGATTACTGTAGCCTTATAGTAAGTCTTAAAGTCAGATGGTATCAGTTCTCCAACTTTGTTCTTCTCCAATATTGTGTTGGTTATCCTGGCTCTTTTGTCTCTTCACATAACCTTAAAATCATTCTGTCAATATCTACAAAATAGCTTGCTGGCGTTTGGATTGAGATTGCATTGAACCATATCCAACATCAAGTTGGGAAAAATGGAAATTTTGACAATATTGAGTCTTTCTATCCATGAACATGAAATTTCCCTCCATTTATTTCATTCTTCTTTGATTTCGTTTATCAGAGTTTTGTAGTTTTCCTCAGATAGATCTTACACATATTTTGGTAGATATATACCTAAATATTTTGTTTTAGGAGGTGCCAATGTAAATGGCAATTTTGTTTTCATTTTAGCTAGGGGCTCACTCTTTGCCCAGGCTGAAGTGCAGTGGCATGATTATGGCTCACTGCAGCCCTGATCTCTTCAGCTCAGGTGATCCTTCTGCCTCAGCTTCCTAAGTGGCTGGGACTACAGGTACATGGCACCCTGCCT